TGACCATTGGATTTGGAGTATATATCTTGTATGTAAGAACTTTCGATGATGATATAGTTACTCCGAATCTGGAGAAATTTCTATCGAAGGAGATGTGATGCAGCTTGAATACAATCATGGATTAATTGATACAAGTAATACATTATTTTTGCTTGCATCGTTCGGCGATAATTCGATCGATGTATTTGATGGTGACAACAATTTGATCATTACTAACATAGATCAAAAGGAAGTAATGGTGGATTAGATATACATGGACAAGTTGACATTGAAGAATGTGATGGAAAAGTATTCAATTAACAATAGGTTTCAATTCTTGATGGAGAGCTCAAACTCTATTAGGTAAATTATTGTTAGTAGGCGTTTGGCCATGCAATACCATATCACGATATGGTATTGTGAGATGGAATCAGCGTTTGGACATGCAATTTTACGCTGATTCCATCTCATGATTCCATATCATGAGAGGTGATACCATATTCTCCAAAAACCATGATATGGAATTATATGGTGATTTCATATCATGATTTGAGATATTTTAATACAATAATTGATCCATGAGTTTATATTTTGTTAAAACAGCCCACATTTATATCTACTAACCATTTGTTTCATATGTAAATAAAATTTATAATCACATCATTACTTTTTAAAATTTATTATTCTCACCGACATAAAATTTATTATTCTCACCAACATATAGTCACTTTAACTCACACCTCACGATTGTGAAACTTTTCAACATTCACTTGAAACAATTAACCGCATGTTAAAATAGTTGTCGAGGCAATTAGCAAGATGACACGAACATTTATACAACCAAAAAATATGACTGGTGTACATTCCAAAATTCGACATAATACTCGATTTTGGCCTTGGTTTAAAGTAAAAATTTCAATCACATTAATAAATTTATTTTATGGCCTTAATAAGTGAACATTTATATTTTATATGTAAGTTATTAGTATTTAGTTACATATTTCCTGTCAACTTTGTTTAAAGAGATAATATTTATTTTATGACTTTGCATTGTCTTGGAAGCACTATTTTTATTACTCTTACAAACATTATTTTTAGTAAAAATTAGGCAAATGACATAGTATAAGAAAGAAATTACTTCCTTTCCCTACTCTTTCATTAATTACCAAAAATCCCTTTTTTTAGTGTTTTTCGGATACATAATATAGCAGTGTGGATACTTAATATAGCAGCGCGGATACTTTAATTAATAACGGCGGATACTTAAATTATTAAGTTGTTAGCAGCACAAATACTTAATTAACGAGCGGATGCATAATATAGCAGCGCGGATACTTTAATTAATAATGGGCGGATACTTAAATTATTAAGTTGTTAGCAACACAGATACTTAATTAACGGGCAGATGCATAATATAGCAGCGCAGATACTTTAATTGATAACGGACGGATACTTAAACTAATAAAGTATCCGGTTAAGTTGAATTGGGGGGAAATAAGGGATTTTTGTATTTTAGTAAAAGAGTAGGGAAATATTGAAAATAGGTAAAGAAGTATTGTGTATTTAAGTAATTTTTCCTTATTTTTATGAAGTGCATTCCATAATGCTTCCAATTTATTTTATGTTCACTAAACTAATATTGATGTATTTTCTATTTGGTAGAATTGTGTTGGTGCGATTGATGGAACATATATAGAAGGGTAAGTTCCTAAAGAGGTGCAACAAGCATATCGTAATCGCAAAGGAAGAACATCACAAAATGTCTTATGTGCTTGTGATTTTGATATGCGATTTACCTTTGTTGCTGCTAGTTGGAAGGTACTGCACATGATAGTAAATTACTTGAGAATGCGAACCAACGTCACAATTTCCATTTTTGCCACATGGTAACTTTAAATTACATTTGTTGATGTTGGTTTCTGAAACACAAAAGGATTTTTAGCTCTATACAAGGACTACACTATCATTTGCAAGATTACCGAGGAAGTGAAAGAGAGCCTCAAAATGCCAAAGAACTATTTAATTATAGGCATTCATCTTTGCGCAATGTGATTGAACGGACTTTTGGAGCTTGGAAAAATAGATTTAGAATACTGAAACAAGGCATGAACCATTATGATATTGATACACAAGTGAAAATTGTTATAGCTTGTGCAGTGTTACATAATTATTTGCGAGAATACCAAAGTAGTGATGAAATATTTATGGTGTATGAACATGAAGATATAGTTGTAGAGGATATTGACCAACAAATGGCTCAAAGTAACAACGTTGGTTCGTCTTCTCGGTCACATGATCAAGAAATGCAAGTTCAACGTGAGGAAATTGTCCGTACTATGTGGGAGGATTATATTAAAGACTAGTACACTACAATTTATGTTCAATTTTTTTTATTAAATTAAAGTTAGATGAAACAATTACTTAAGTGGAGAACAAATAACTTTACAATAATTTATTATGCGATTTTATAATTTTTTGTTTATTTGATAAGATTGAATAAACAATTAGGGCTATTTTAAGAGTTTTACAACTTATGGGATTTTCATGTTTATGAGAAAATATACAACATAAAAATTCCATATCGCATGTCCAAACAAACCTTCAATTTCATCTCATGATTTCATATCATGATACCATATCGCATGGCCAAACGGGCCCTTATGATTGTTTGAATTGAAATGTCTTGATTATTGAATGTAGTTATACACTTGTATGTCATTTTAAAGAATATTTTCAAATTGTATTTGCACTTATACACTTGTATGCTATTCTAAAGAATGCAAATGATTAATGAAGGCATTAAGTATAAACAAGTCAAAAATGTTCAGAATTAGAGTTTTCAACTATGAGCATACATGTCTTTTGGAAGATAGGTTATATTCACAAATTTAGGCAATAAGTGAATTTATTGGAGGCACTATCGCACCTAAATTGAGGAATCATAAGAGGAAGTACACTCATAATGATATCATAGACGACATGAAATTGGACTTGAGTGTTGACGTTAACATGTTGTTATGACGAACAAAAGAAAATGCATTGGTTCATAATGGGGCAACCAGTTGCCTCATACAAAAAGGTGCCTAAATACTTGTATCTATTGGATAAAACATACCATGATTCACGTATTCCAATGAAAAAAATCGTAAATAAATTTTTGTATCTGTTTATATCATTGCATGCTTTTTATAAAGGAATTTGATTATTGTAGGTCAATTGTTGTTGTAGACACCAGCGATTGAAATCAGCATACATTGGTGCTTTTGTTTAGCCAACACTTTAGATAGAGCAAGTATTTGTGATATGTGAATTTAGTGTGATAATGTTTTATATTTATAACGTACATTATTGTTGTATAACAAAAAATATATTACATCTTGTCCACTGAGTTATGATTCCGAAAATGATATTGCTTAGACGTGATTTTTTTGAATAATTCAAATAAGCATATGGGAAAAAAAAGAATATGAGTATAGTATATGATAGAAATGAGAGCATTATAAAGGTTGTTTATATAGTATACAATAATATCCAATATTACGCTTGTGTATGGCACTTGTGGGGCAATGTATCCTAGAATTTTAGAAAATCAAATGAGCATTTGAATGAGGTATTCTACACTATGACGAAGGTATACACACAAAATAATTTTGATGGGCTAATGAATAAGGTTGATCAAGTTGATATTAGGGTGAAGAAGTACTTGGAGGTGACATGATATGAGAAGTGGGCAAGATTGTATGTACCGGTTCATCGGGGTCGGATGATGTCAAATATTACAGAGTCCATTAACTCGACATTGGTAGCAGCAAGAGAATCACCAATATTTGACTTTCTTGAATAAGGTGAGATTGATGTTTACTAGATGGAATTGCACAAATTTTATATTTTTTTAAAAAAAAACATCATTCATAATCACTCCTCTTGAAAAATAAATTCAGGAGATGCTTGTACTTAATGAGGGAAAATCTACACGTATGACGTTATGTATGTTCATGTAAGCTGATTTTTTATAGCGAGTTGGTGCATTATGTATTCAATTTCATTTTTTTCTTTTTATCTTCTTGTATTGAGTTGTATTTGTATTTAAAGTATAGGTTTTTTTTTTCAAAAATTGTATCAATTAGTTTACGTATTCTTGGTACATAACTATTATAAAATTTCGTTATCTTTTACTACCATATACATACACCCAAACTTATTCAACTAGATGGTTATGTATATGTAGACATTATCAAATATTATTATTGATACATAAACATTAATGTTTTTATAACAATATTTGTTTGTATCAACTCACTACTGTGTTATGTATCACACACACACACAATGTTGTTGGGAACAATACATGTATAATGTATCTTTTTATAAAATACAGTATTCTCAAACAAAATAAGATACATAAATAGTAATGTATCATGCACTAACTTTTTAGGCATGATACATAAATTTGAATTTATACTAAATGTATTTGATACATAGCTATTGTTTTCGACTTTTTTGAATCTATTACGATTTGTTAGAGATTTGAGAGAAGAAAATTTAAAATTCGAATTGTTTGAAATTATTACGATTTGGGAGAGATTGATTTGTGTGATTTGGGGAACTGACATTTAATTTTATGTTTAATTTCCTATTTAATCTCAACGGACAAGTTGTTTAATGCATCAACTGTTATGTATCCGGATGACACAAATTTGAAGGGATCTTTGTAAATTAGAAAAGGGTAGAGATAGAATGTAATTTGATCTTTACACGGTAAGATGTCTAAGATTTTTACTTTGTGAAATTTCCCCTTGGAAAAAAAATGAAAAGGGTTTGTGCCCATTGTACAAGGCTAGAATAATATAGGACGTGTGAAGATGTGTTGGTTATACCCATTCAAGTTGCTGTTTATTCGGCTATATTAGTATTCATTCATTTGGATTCTCTACATTTGCACAATTTATCTCCTCTTTCTTATCAAAGCCAAGGAAGTGCGTTTTAATTTGCAATTCTTATCATTTGAAAATTCATACTATTTTTTTGAGAGGGTGATGAGTTTTTTCTTTCATAGGTGAATGTGGTGGCTAGCTAGAGGGAAGTAGAAATGGCTTACAAGGTGGATCATGAGTATGATTATTTATTCAAGATTGTTTTGATTGGAGATTCAGGTGTCGGAAAATCTAACATTCTCTCCAGATTTACGCGAAATGAATTCTGTTTGGAGTCTAAATCCACCATTGGTGTCGAATTTGCAACTAGGACCCTTCAGGTTTGTTTCTGGTTTCTCCAAATTCCATGCATTTCTGAGTCTTGTACTCAAACATATATTTCATGGATTAAGTATTTGATTATGTGAACATAACATTTTACGCGTTGTTCATGACAGAAATGTGTTAACTTATTTTTTCTGTCTCAAAATTAGTAATAGACGATGAATTGATGTGGTGCAGGTAGAAGGAAAGACAGTAAAGGCACAAATATGGGACACTGCAGGGCAAGAAAGGTACAGAGCCATAACGAGTGCTTATTACAGAGGAGCCGTGGGAGCACTCTTGGTTTATGACATAACCAAGAGACAAACTTTTGAAAATGTGCACAGATGGCTGCGTGAGCTGAGTGACCATGCTGACTCCAACATTGTCATCATGATGGCTGGAAACAAGTCTGATCTGAACCATCTTCGAGCAATTCCAGATCAAGATGCAAGACTCTTGGCTGAGAAAGAAGGATTGTCATTTCTTGAAACCTCTGCATTGGAAGCTTTAAACGTTGAGAAGGCGTTTCAAACAATTTTGTTGGATATTTATCAGATAATCAGCAGAAAAGCTTTAGCAGCTCAAGAAGCTGGTGCTACTCCTGGTCAAGGAACTGTTATTAAGGTTGGAGACAATTCTGGCAATTCCAATCCCAGACCATGTTGTTCCAACTAAAAAAATGTGGGGCTACTTTTTTTGTTCTTGTAATATGTAAGAGTAGATTTATATGTGTGAGTTATGTGGGTAAGTTTTGAATTGAGGAATGACAGATAGGAATCTTATGCTGCTTAAAACTTGTAATTAAACACAGGTATACTTTTTGACATTCTGATTAATTTGGAGAATCAAAGATTTGTTTCTCTAGTAGCTTTTTGACATTCTGGTAGACAAGCAATCAGTTTTCGAATGTTGACTGAAGCTAATTGATTGTTTTCTGTATTTCGATGTGATCACCGTTCCACGATAAATTACCACATCTTATTGGCATCGCGCAGAGCAGACAATTAAAAAGTGATTCTTATGAATCTATCGTCTGGCTTGTTGCAAAGTAAGATTTCATTTTAGAACAATATTTGCAGGAAGTGGGAAGCTAAGACACTTTTGGAGCATTCAAATTCAATTTTTATTGCAGTTAAATGCAATACATGTTACATTTTCTTCTCATTCACATTGTGGCATATAATCTTCTCTTTCGGACTGAGTGTCCACAGACGGAACCCATAAAAAATAAGAGGAGCTAATCCAGCTTTGCAAGATCAACTCATTTTCTCAGGGGAGCATTTCAATTCAATGATTTCTGGATTGCCATACAGCACAAGCGACCTTTGACAAAATAACAATGATGGAATCATAACGGGAAATTTCCTGTCAGGCGAATGTGATCCAATGTACATCTTAAACCATACTTATTCACGGCTTCATTAGCAGATCTGAATCCCCCACCATATGCTGGAGAAGTATCATGGGCGATCTGGTGCATGAAAAACTCACCCAGCTTATTCTCTACTCCAGACTTAACACCTTTCTTGGTTGACGACATTGATGAGGATGAAGCAGTTGATGTTGATGGCATATCTCTGGATCCTGGCATTACCTCTGATTCCAGCCACATGTAGGAAAGCACTTGACAGATTCCTTCCTCTACCTCAAGGCTGAGATTACGGTATCCTGCAAATTTCATACAAGGTAACTTTTCTAAAGTAAATCAATTTAAACATATATTAGCTGCAGAGGTGAATATCCAGGATCCAGAGTTCGTGGAGTCAGAATGGGTGTGATCTTATTTTATGTACTATACAATTAAATGTCTTTTGCACATATTACATATTTCGAGCTGGAAGCAACAGGTTCAGTTGAACTCATAGAACTCCTAGATTGGCATCTGATTAACTGGTATCAAGCATCATGAGAGTTTGAAAATGAAACATCTAGCTGTCTTTTTATCTTTCTTTCCGTGAAGATAATACATCCCTAAAATCTATTGCAGACCAACGTAGATAGAAAGATATGCTCAACTTACCTTTTAGACGTAACCATGCATGCATCAGTTCATGAGCAAGAATAGCACCAGTAAGTAATCTGCAGATAGAATGATATAGCAAGTCTATCAGGCCTAACACATAATCTTTTCTAGAGAGCATCTTAACTGGTAAACGAGGGTAACATATATGCCATTCCATATCATTGTCAGTAGGACATGCCAAGAGTAGCCAAAGAGTTATGTTGGAATAAAACAAACTGAAAGGAATTAGACAAAAAGAAGTTACCTTGGTAGACCGAACAATACTAGAATAGCTGTAACCTCACACTTTCTAGTTAGCTTCTGAGGGTGTGTTCTGATTCCCACTACTTCACGACCACCCATTCTTGGCCTCTTGAGTATCTGCAATAAGACACCATTGCTTGTAATGCATCAATAGGTTACCTAGATACTAACACTTTTAAGCTAGTAAGAAACTGAATGATTTCAAGGGACTGAACGGCATACACTGGTGACTGTCTGCTCTTCTGATAGGCATAGACCTCTGGTTTCGGGCATATGATGGAAACCCTAAAGTATTTTCCAGTCAGAAATTTCCCAGACTAAAGAACAGAAAAACTACAGATACAAAGGCATCCTTACATGCTTCTCCCCTTCAATGGCTTCATTAAGGGCTTGTCTTTCAACAAGAAGCATAGGAACTTGCTGTTCTATTTTCATGTTCATGCCTTCATAATAGTCCCTGATGGCATGGTAAAGTGGTTGGCAATCCCCGGTATCCATGATGGCAGATTCCATGCACTCTAAGCATAAGCTCCTACCATCCCCTAGTGATACATATCTTGCATTCCATGGCTTAAAGAATATAAGAACAATATCAGCATCAAGCATGTTAGTTGAATGATAGGTGATCCAACATGTTTAATTTTACAGATAACCATACCTCCAGACGTTCACAACTACAGCATCGTTTGGTGACATCATGCTCATGTGAAGGACAATATTTCTGAGACCAAAACGGGTGGCACCTATACTCAATCAAGCCTGCTGCATTTGTTGGGATCTGAAAAGGAAATGGTGGATCATAAAATCAACTATGAGGGATTACACAGTTAGAAATAATCATTGATCTGCAAGTATATTTCAAATCTCATGAAATATTTCCAAAACTTAAAATATGAAATGGTGACTACACCATAAACTTAATAATATAAGCTGGTTCCTAATCAGAACAAAATATTGTTGAGCAATTTGAAAAAAATCTTAGAATATAATCTACAGAAGAGCATGCTGTAAAACGTTCTCTCTAGGTTGGTGAACTAGACAAAATTGTCTCAAAGATGAAAAAATGCAAAACAACATCAATGGATGAACTAATGAAGTTGTCATTCCATCTCGATCTGTGATACTGCAACAGCAAGTGATGATTTAGATGGATGACAATCAGCGGGCATGTGCCAGTATATGCATTTGTCTGTTTGCATACATGCACAACTATACTCTCTAAGGATTTTGCATTTTCAACTGAAGTAAGAGCAAAAATCAATGGTTTCTAAGTGAACATGTAGGAAAAGCCTATATCTGAAGATGCAGTCGAGAATAACACAATGAACCAAAAATTGGATTAACGATGAGCAATTTCCAGTAACCAACTACATGAAGAAGCATCATGATTCATGTCCTTACAAATTGGAAGCAAACTTCACATTTGGGGTGAGTCATTTCCCTGAAGCATGATTTGTGATATGTATTGTTCCCTGACAAGGAAAACTTGATTCAACAAAGAAACCAATGAGCTAAACATGAGGAAAGATATAAAACCACTCAGTCTGTACAAGAATTGAGATAACAGGTTTAATTTTCTTTTTTTTTTGGGAGAGAGAATGAGTTACGGCACAAGATAGTTGAAGACCAAGGACAAGAATGCACCTCATGTTCAGTAATAGGGTAACCACAGGCACGACAAAGAAAGCACTCTGGATGAAAGAAAGTTCCCATGCACCCCAAGTAATTGCCAGAGCCAATATCCCCATGGCAGCCATTACATATCCTGCAAATTATACATGTGCATATAACATTTCTTGTACACAAAAAATACAGATGCTCCGTGATGGTATCTGTTAATCCCGAGACAAGTGTGAACAAGCAGCAGTTTCTACCAAAATGTAATAGATGGTCCTTCAATACTTCAAAACTAATAAATATCTAGTCGAAGACACAAAATTTGTTTGAATGTGAATATACACGGACATCAATTCGTCTTAAATTTGAATTCGTTTATCCTCCAGTTTTCCCCAAAGGTTACAGGAATGGTTTCATCTGTAATAGGTATTAGCATGCTACAGTTTCCATTTTCAGTGAACAGTCACAGAAAATTTTCTCAGTAACACGACTTAAAGTTGATGCCCCGAGAATTTACCACTGTAGAGGCAACCTTCTGTGAAATAAAATCCATAAATACTACGAAGCAGAATTTTTTCTTCTTTTCTTTGATCCCTTTTTTAATTCCATCAAGTAAAACTCACAAAAGAAAGGACCCCATGCAGGACTTCTTTCTCTTTACCCCCTAATAAGTATTAGTGGATAGAAAGTTATTTGAGCTTTGTAAGACAGGATTAATTGCAATGCAGTAGAAGATAATTAGGCTAAATTTCGAATGACACAAAGCAAAAGAGGATATTTCAACAAAATCCAATTACCTATAACTTCTGGGATTATATTCCCAAGGGGCATATGAAGGAGCATACGGAGGAGGATATGGAGGAGGATATGGAGGATATGATGACGAACTAAGGTCATGGTTAAGTGATCTTTCCAGATCTTCATCATTGTCAGTCCTGCCTTTGTATCCTGTGAAGCACAGAACTGTCAGTCTCAACCTCAAAAGAGTGGAATTGGTAATATAGTGGTATACTAAGTCAATACTCAATAGAGAACCGAACAATGTATATAGATCTCTGGAGGACAGCAACAAGGAAATATTAATTTCATAGACTTGAAAAAATACAAAAGAAGAACTTCTAATTGCCACCTGGTCTTTTCAAATCTTCGGACAAAGAGACTGCAGTCGCACGGTCTAGTTCCTCTTTCTCTTTACTAGCCTTAGAGCGATCATCCTGATGAACTTTAAAATTGTGTTAAGAAACATTTAATCAGACGAGACATCAAATTCAATTTAAAAAGATAATACAAAGTTTAGTTTAAGCAAATATAAATAACAGTTATCATGTGTTAAAAGTAGTCCAGCTGAAACATAGAAGTGGCTTTTGATGGCGAACTCGTCTATGGTATCATCATCAGCTTTCTTTTTATTAAGCCAAGATCACATATTGGATCATTTCTTGGTGATAAAAGAGAGATTTTGAAAGAAATATGCACCACATTTCACATTGCAGGTCATTTATCCAGAATTGTATACACTGGTACAGCAAGCTCTGAATCAAAATTAATGAAAAGTAAAAAGATTACCAATGTTCTGGCAGGAGCACGCCAAACCATATTCTCATCTCCTAGAAACTGGGGTTGCTGTCCACGTGGAGATCCCCTATTACCCTTGAAAATTTTAGTCAGCCATTTCATAAACCTTGACTTCCTCTCTGCGTATGAAGAAACAAAGTGACCTGCTTTAAACCCCACAATCATATCATCATCAAAAAAGCTAATCTTTTTACGCAATTCAAGGGAAATACTCAAAAGGGGATAAGTTAAATAGCAAAAAGATTCAAAAAAATCAAATCTTGGAACTTGTGAAACATTACCATATATGCAAGGCTGAGAAAACTGATTGACAGTTGAAGAAGACATGGGAAAAAGGTGGGAACAAATTGTGAGAGAGAAAGAGAATGGTAATGTAATGGAACAGAGAGAAGAAGAATGGCATCATTGGAAAAGGGTAAGTTATAAGAAAAGCAGAGAATCTTTGAAAGGGAAAGAGATTCTTGGCTTGGGAGAAAAATAATAAAGGATGGGGATTGGGGAAAAAGTGGGAGAAGAGAAATGGGGGAATCTGATCGTGATGGAAAGGGAAGGAGAAAGGCAAAGACAAACTGGTTGTTTCATTGGAGTGTGACTGAAGCCTCACACAACTCATATTCAACATTCAAGAATGTCTTCCTATGAGAATTTTCACAAGTTGGATGCCACGGAAAAATATGTTCTTTTCTCATAATGGGATTCTTTTATACTCTCTTTCAAACAATAGTTGTCCACTGGTAACTTGACACACTATTTTCAAAAACAATAAATAATAGAAATAATATTATTATATTATTTTTTTAATTTTATTAAATTTAATGCTTTAAAAATATTTAGATGATAAATAGTACTTATTTAAAAGGAAGAGTAAAATAGACTCAAAAGATAAATTATCTCATGATTTTCTAAATTGGACAAGTATTGTCGGACAACTATTCTAGTATAAGTACTACTCTTTTTCTGTTTTATATCGTTGACATTACTAGAAATACATATCTCAAATTACTTATATATTTATTTAATTAAATGATAAAAACTAGTTCAAAAATTTACATTTTGCCTCTCTAATTGATATTCTTTAAAGCCTAAATTGTGTTTATATTCACTCTCATCCACTTTGAAATACTTATAAAAATTGTTTAAAAACAAGTGCCAAAAACAACTCATAAAGTGGGAACTTCAGTTAATCGAGAAGATCAACCGAAACAAGAGAGTGAAGAGTAAAAACTAATCATCCAAAGCTTGAAGAATCAAAAAAACAAATTGAAATGGGCGCTAAAAATATTGAAGATTCAAAAAGTTCAAAGTGATGGTTGTCGGTTAGAGAATCTCCTAAAAAGAGTTAACGTGTATTTTTTTACTATATCACTTATTATGTTGAGTTTCAGAGAATAAGTAAGTACTTATAAAGTTTTAAATGATTTAGTCTCTTTATTTCTTTACATGCATCTTGAGTATATCTTTATCTATTACAATCTCTTTCTTTCCGTTATTTCACTTCGGCGTAAATTACATACTAGTACACACGTGATTCTGCTCTTGTAGAATTGCATGCGCAATTCAGCTCTGGAAAAACTCCTTGAGGTCCATAGAGAGATGAAGTTTATAGTCAACCTCTGCCTCTCATATAGCTTTCATTTTCAACACTTCTATGTGGAGATAGATGTAAGATTAATATGATTGATAGTTTCAGTTTACTATTTGAAGTTTTCCTAAGGCTCAAATTGGTTCCGACCTTGTTTCGTAGTGAATTTATTGATTTGAATACTTCTAACACTGTTTTATTTTTTAAATTCATCAAAAAACCGATAACTAAAAAAAATTGGTTAATAGTCGATCGCTCTACCAATGAGCTACTGAGGAACAACACATTTAATGTTGGAAGTCGACTCTCATTCTTTGGACCAACCTATGACCAAAGAAAAATGAGTTTGTCACTCTTTTTCACATACACCGAGAGAAAGGGTTATGCTAGCAACCCCCCCCCCCCGGTCGGAGAGCCCCCGGGACAAGGAGGCGGCAATCAACCAGCCACTCTCGAGATTCATATTGATCAATAGATCTCCGCGTCCTACCAGTTCGCTAAGTAGACTCACTTTACCGAGGGGCAACTCGTACCTTTAATGTACTGATGTCATTCGGCTTACATCTTTTTATGATGCAGATACATGTGTTTAGGATCATCAACAGGCATTTCGTTGAGATTACTCTACACTCCAGGTAACTTTTGGTGAGCCCCTTGCATTCCAGAGTACTCCGCATTTACTTTCAGTTTAGTAGCTTTGAGATGTCATGGATCTTGTCCCGGCACCTATCTTATCATTAGAAGCTTCATAGATAGTTAGATTTGAGATGTCCTCAGAGTTATTATTAAATTGTTTTACAACTACTATGTTTATTACATTAAGTATTTTCAGATATTTGAGTTGAGTATTGACTTTGAGTTTAAATGATCGAATTTTGTTTTAAGCCGCATATTGCTTGAGTAAGTCTTCCGCTAAAGAATTAGCCAGACCAAGGGTTCGCTTGGAGACCAACAATGATTCTCGATTACCTACCACGTCCAAGGTGTAGGCTCAGGATGTGACAATACTACTTGAATACCACAAATCACAATCACAATTTCATTGCATCAGATTAGCTACATGATATCATTTTGTATGTCTCCCTACCATGCATTGCACATATCATACTACAAAGCAATAAACATACATACATATATCGAAAACATACAACCATCACCTATATACATACACTTATATGTCAATAGCCTAAAATACTAGACCTCATTATGAGTACACATTCATTCCCTGAGAAATATCTCCCTAGTCCACGAATCAATACTTTTCTCGTTAATTTAGTTCCCCTTGATTACCACAAGTTTCAGAAATGACTATAACCTAACAATTTCATAAACACATAACCTCACAATTAGCACCATATCACCCCAATAAGGAAACTCAAGATTAACAATCAAGAACACTAAAACTACCCCTTGTCATTATCTTTTTTCGCCTTAGCAGCAATAAACAACAATATTTAACCATCAGACTCTGTGCCCGAAAGCCTAGGCATGAAACCTTTTGTCAATCTATAAAATACCATGAAGTAGAAAACATGTCTAACTGTTCAATTAAGAAAACCTAGCCTACCTGGGCACCGAACAATTGCTGCAGAAGTCTAATCGCGAACCCTGACTCCTTTCGTGAAGCCTTAGCTTGTTCTTGGTCTAAAATAATAGCATAATACAAAATCAATCACAAATGACTTAAATATTTCAAGATTATATGCAAATCTCAAATTCTAGACCAACCTTATGATTTTTCCACTCATTTTAGGACTTTCCCACCAATAATTCACCTAGAACTATAAATTTCATGGTTATACTCGTGAATTATAGTAAATAAATCAAGAATAAACATTCTTAAGAATAGCCTAAGGTCTTACACCCTACAATCCTCATGAACTCAGATTTTCTCCATATTAGTATGAATGCAAACTATCCCCTAGGGTCATAAATATATTTTCTAAGGATTAAAGAATCAAACAAGCGTTAGATTGATGGGAGGACTTATCTTGAAGAAGAAAATTAATGAAAAACTGAATAAATTGCCCCTTCCTTGCCCTAGCATGACCTTGGACGAGTTTGGGAAGAAAAATAACGTTTTGAGGCTGAAAATAACTTTTAATTTTGTGCTGCCCAATATAGTTGCGTGTTATAGCGCCCTGATTCTCGCTATAGCGGCCTCAATTTTTCAGTATGGATAACATATGGTAAAATGATCATAACCTTTTACTCTGAACTCAAAATGATGCAAACTTAGTGGTGTTGAAAAAAAGACTCATATACATTTAATTTGATAGCCCATGGGACACCTAGTTCATTATAGACTGATCGATATGGTTGTTTGAAGTTGAGATTAGTTTAAACTAAAGCTCAAAACTAGATCAGTAAGGACACTTTTAACTAACTTTGTGATAGCGGCATTGTACGACCTTAATTCATAATTAATGCATTCACGTACCAAGGAATTGATCCTAACTCTATAACGAATGAGATTCATATAACCTTATTGCAAATATTTTCAGTAACGGCGGAATATGTCGTTACAATTTATGTTCGCTAGAAATGATGATCGTGATAATGGTTGATGTTAGTGGCTAGTAATGATGATAATGATAGTTGTGATGGTAGAGATCGTATTGTAGTGATTGTGACGATGACGAATAGTAGTGATTGTGATGGAAGAATTGATTGATGTTAGTAATTGGAGATGTTAATGTTGGTGATTTGAAAAATGTTTGGTAGTTGACAACGTCTAGGTGGTAGTTGGCGGCAATGCTAATTGTAGCGGTGAAGGTGGTTAGTAGTGGTGAATAGTGGCGGTGGAGATGACAACGACGACAATGGTTGATGAATGAAGAAATGTGATGGTTGACGATGTGTTGGTGTTGGTGCTAGTGCAAGTTATGATGATGAAATTGTGTCACGACCCAGAAATCTCAGTAAATCATTTATCATATATAATGGATTAGTTAAATTAGATCGAGTTTATCGTTTTTAAAATTTCATGAACTTTTTTTAATTTTTATTTTATATTTCAAATATTAATATTATGTAATTCTTAAAATTTTATAATTAATGTAAATACATGTACAAGAAGCAAGTACCATAATAATAGTATTTTAAAATCACATCCACGAAAGATCATGCGATATCTCAAGTATTATCAAAGAATGTGGTGTAATGAATAAAACAATTTCTCTCATAATTAGAGATCTCAAGTTTAATTTCTGAATATTAAAAAAATCTGATTTGAATATTAATTAGTCAGACTCGGTAAAAAAATAAAATAAGTTGCATCTCAAGCTTGGTTGATGCACTTGAGAGAGGGCGCCCACTTTTTGGGCCAGCACTTTTTTTGAATTTGCAATCCCCTTCTCTCTCCGGTAGGGTTTCAAATCAAACACCTAAATTACATCCACTTCACTCTTCTCTCTCTTTCCCATCTTCTGAAAATTCAAATCTGTAAATTGTACATTTCACAATCCAAGAATCTATTCATAGATGAATTCTACAGATTCGATAAAAACCCTTTTGGCTACTACCGGCGGTGACACTGTTAAGCTTTTTGACCTCACTTTGGAGCCCCGTGATCCCTGCATTCTTAGTTATACTCCTTCCCCTGGATTCCAAGTCAATTCCGTCAAGTGGAATCACACTAGTTAGTTCCCCCTTTCTATCATGAATTTCAAATATTTACATTCTTTTTGCAAAATGGATTTACCTTTGGGTGTTGCAGATTTGGTGGTGGCAAGCGCTGGAGATGACAAGAAGA